CGGCCTCTTAAAGCACAGCCGCCTTGTCGTGGCCCCGCGGCCGCCGCCCCGCGCAGAATTCCCGCGCCTCCGGTGGGGTCGCGGCACGGGGACTGGGCGCGGGGGCGGGGAGCGGGGGGCGGCCCGGGGAGGTCTCATCCCGGCCTCTTAAAGCACAGCCGCCTTGTCGTGGCCCGGAGCGCGTCGCCCGTCCCGGCACCTCCACCCTACCGGGAAAGAAGGGCCCCCGGAGGGAACCCAGGGGGCCAAAACACGCTCCCGATAGTCGAACGCTTCAGTCGTGCCCCTCGGCAGTGGGGAGCTCAGGGGTTGCAGCCGTGGTTGTTTTGAACTTCCGTTGTTTTGCGCCGGGAGAGTTTTCGCAGTACTCAAAAGTTGGGGAGGTCCTTAGCAAGCCATCTGCGGTGGAAGTGGGGACACCGTGGGAAAGAGGTCGCTGGAGGTTACTGCGCAAGCCAGTGTACCCTATTCCATATTCGAACTCATTCTATACAGAGTGAGCGAGGGATTGGCCCTCGTGGTGTCGTGTTGATCAGGGGCCACGGGCAGCTGTCTGGGTGAAACATATACACAAACAAAATCATTTTTTGAACGGAAAATTGGAAGGGCTTTGGAATCAGGTGGAGCGGTTCAAATACCGGCAACTGGTTAGCAGTGTGAGCTTGGGTCCGTTACTCACTGCCTCAGTTTCCTTATCCGGTAAACAGGACTATTAAGACCCACCCTTTGCAGATTTATGATGAGGATTAATAATGATATATGGGCAGTCCCCAAGCATCGTATCTGGCACATAGTAGGTACCGGTATTCAGCATTGTCTTCACCCCCCCATCTCTCATGTGCATCTGTTTTGAAAGTGTCTTTTTTTGCTTTCTAAAAAAAATTTTTAATTTAAAAAAATGTTTAAATGCAGTGTGGCTTCATTTTATCTGCTCTGTTTTTACGGCCAATTGACCTTCTGTCACCAAGTCCTGGCTGCACATTGGATGTCAGTGACATATCCTATGAGGCTGCCCACTATCATTTCTTTTAAGTCTGGACTACCAAGCAAAACTCTCAGAGCTTTCCTCATGCCTTGCCTTCCTTGAGGACAAATGAAATCCACAGTCCTCACCCGCTGTCTAAGGCTCCCCCCCAGCGTTGGTTCCAGCTTCTCCCACATGCCTTTCCCTGTTCCACCCACAGCCCACCCCAAGTCTCTTTCCTTCGGGAGGTCTTTTTGGATAACTCCAGTTGGAATACCTGACTTACCTTGTCTGTGGCTTGCTCATTGGCACTCACGTTATAGTTTATACGTCTGCCTGTCTCTCCCACTAGACCAGTCCACAGAGCTGACACCAGATCCGGGGGAGCCTGGCCAGTGTCTGGTTCACGGGGCCTCCTCTCCCTTGCATTTTTTATTTGGGCACACTAAAGCTCTGACCTGACAAAGGAGTTGCCCACAGTCACTCAGACAGTTGTGGAGAGCCGGGACTGCAGTCCAGATCAGCTGCTTACCTCATCACCTTCTGCTCTGGCGCCAAGACCACATACTCCCCTCAGGGCTTGGCACAAGACAAGTATAACCTAGAGAGTTCCCGTCATGGTGAGAGGTACCTTCTTATTACCTGTTTTCTCAGATCCTCGTAACCGTCCTGAAAGACAAGAATACTTACTCCCTTTCATGCAAGATGAGCATGAGACGAGGGGGCGAAGAAACTTGCCCAGGGTGAGCAAGTTAGAGCCTGTCACTCCTCTCCTCAAAACCCTCCATGGGCTTTTTACTACAACCAGAATAAAATCGAAGGGAAGGCCTCACCCGGGCCTACAAGGCTCTCTATGACCCTGCTGCAGGCTGGGCCTCTGACCTCACCTTGCCCTCCACTCTGACCTCCTGTGCCCTCCACCCTACATGGCACCCAGCTGCGCTGGCCCCCGTCCAAGTGTGGTCTGCCCTCAGGGAGAGTCATGCTAGTCTCCTGCAGGGTCAGGGTCCTCCAGGGTGACTCCTCTCGTGCCCCAGCCTCCCTCTCCTGCAACGACTTGACCCCATCCTACCTCCGCCACCCTTTCCAAAAGGTCATGTCCTAGGCCTGTTACCAGCACTGCACCCCTTCTGGAATCTGTGCAAGCATTCTGTCATCCTCACTTGAAAGCTCACCTTCCTTAGCAGCCAGCCTGTAATAAACTGTTCTTCAGTCTCACTCACATCTGCATTCCACAGTTCCTGCCAACTTCTTCCGGGCCCAGGCCCTGTTGTGACCTCTCCCCACTTCATACCCGCCCATCATCATAATCACACCCTCAATAACATGCTTGCCTCCCTTGCCCTTCTCTTCTTTCCTCATGTTCCCCTGAGTTTTCAGATTCACCTCGCTCCCCCCATGCCTGCCCTGCAGTGCTGAACGGGGCTGGAGAGAAGCACACCGCTATGTGGACAGTTTTGCGGCCCCTCGGCCCCCTGAGGCCTCAGGTATGCCTGCCCCCCTGGTTATAGCTCTCCAGCCCGCTCCCTCTCTCCACTCTGGGATGGTCGTTTCACACCTGCCCTCTCCTCCAACCCCACAGCTCCTTCCCCATTCTCATTTCACTGAGAAAACAGAAGCGGTCCTGAGAAAACTCCCTATGGGCTGCACCACTAGTTGCAAACCTTCCTGGGCCCGGACCCTCACTCTGCCTCCCTCCTGCTCTTGCGAGCGAATTCTCCATACTCCTGGGAAAGGCCACCCCCTCCCCGAGTGCCCATCCCCTCTTGCCTGTTTGAGGGCACTGCTACAGTTCTCTCTCTCTGTTCTATATACATTTTGTCTTCTCTACTGTTGGCCCTGCAGAATCCCATCTTGAGCCCTCAAGTCCCTCCAGCTACTGGCCCATTTTTCTTCTCCCTCTTACAGCCAAACCCCATGAAAGAGCTATGTGTGCTCTGATTCTAATCCTTCTTCCTGCTTGCTCAAACCCACTCTAATCAGGCTTCTGTCCCCACCGATCCACGGAAACAACTCTTGTCAAGTTTGTCAATGACCTTTAACTTTCAGTCCTCACACTTCTTGGTCTAACATTGTGTTTGGCATGGCTGATTGTGTCCTGCTTCCTGGAAACTCATTCTGCTTGGCTTCTGGAGCCCACCTTCTGCTTTGCCTCCTCTAACTTCTCTGGTTCTTTGCTGGTGCCCCTCGTTTCCTGGAGCTGTGCATGCTGGGGGACTCCCAAGACTCAACCTTCTCTTCTTTCCTTCACTTGCTATTTTCCAGGTGCCTCGGCCAGTCTACTGGATTCCAGTAGACAGTTCCCAAATGCCTATCTCTGGCCCAGGTCTCTCCCAGAACTCTTACATTCTTTCCAACAGCCGATTTTACGTTTCCACTTGGGTATCCAATAAATATCTCAACATGTCCAAAACCCAATTCCTGATTCCCTCTATGTCTTGCAGTTTTCCAATTTCGGTAGGCAGTATCACCATCTTTCTGGTTGCTTGGGCGAAAACCTTTGCAATCATTCCTGGCTTTTTTCCTTCATGTATACCCCACATCTGGTCCATTAGTACATCTGTTGGCTTTGCCAGCAGGGCACATAGAGCATGTAGCCACTTCTTTCCACTTCTGCTGCAGCCACCTGGTCCAAGCCACTTCCATTTTTCACATGAGTTGTTCGATAGCGTCCTAACTAGTTTCTGCTTAATCCCTCCAAAAATCTGTTCACAACCTAGCAGCCAGTGATCCTTTACAAATACAAGTCAGTTCATGCTCCTCTTTTCACCCCGCCCCCACCCCACCATTTAACAAAAGTCAATAAGCCTTTCCTTTTCAGGCTCTGGGCAGCCTCTCTGACCTCATTTCCTGCCACTTTCCCCTGGTCACACAGCTCCAGCTGCACAGGCCTCCTGTGACTGCCACAGGGCCTTTGCCCTTGCTGTTCCTTGCTGAGAACACACTTCCCCCAAGTGTCTGCATGGCCTGCTCTCCTACTTCCCTCATGTCTCTGCTTTAATGTCAGCTAAAAAAGAGGTACTTCCCCAACAGAATGTCAGCTCTGTGAAGGGGTAGGGTTTGTCTTATTCTCTTGGTATCTCCTGCATCTAGAACAGCCCACCACATAGTAGGTGCATAGGAAATGTTTGTTGAGTGATGAAGATTAAGTGGACCAGATGGAACTGAGGACTGGCTGCTTCCTGAGGGCATCCTTATCCACTACCCCAGTGGTTTTCAAATGTTGGTGTGTACCACAGTCCCAGTGAGTTTGTGAAGTGTGCCAAGACTTGCTGATCTGAGCTGTTGACAAACATAAAGAGTTATCCAGCAGAGAGGGGCTCTTGTGGTTTCAGCCTCACTCTGATTGGCAGGAAAGCCATGGGGAGACGCAGATTAAATGGGGGTGCTTGCTATAACCCCCCCTCCTTCCAGTTCATTCTCCCTAGAGCACCCAGGCATACCCCTGCCTTTCCCCCAACATATACACCCATTTTTTTGTGTTCCCCCCTCCTCAACACTTCCTTTTTATTCTCTTGGGTTCCAGGTTGTGTTCATACCTCTTTTTTTGCAAATTCTTCTTCTCTCACTTCATGGCAGGCAACAGGTTTTGTCTTGTTTTCCCATCAGTGGGAGCCTCTGTAAGATTGTGAACACAAAGCCTGGGGGAGAAGTTGAGGCCTGGCTCCCTTGTGGGTCTGGATCCATGAAGAGCAAGGGGCTCCCTTAGCGCCAGGCTGAGCTGTTCGGTGATCCATGTTTGGTGATCACCATGGCCCAGTGAGGTGGGCAGGCAGCAGCTTCTGTGGTTATTTTTCAAACGAAGAAGCCAGGCTCACAGGGGGAATAGCCCTTGCCATTGCCAGAGTGTGTCTTAGCTGGGCCTTCTGCCAGGTCAAGCTGGATGATGACAGTGGCCTCACTGGGAACTCAGCAAACGTTTACCACGTGCTTCCAGTGGGCCTCAGTCCTGGCTTTGCCGACTCACACGCCAGGATGGTCAGGACCCCCTGCTATGGGATTCTCCTGTGTTACCTGGGCAAATCAACCCTTGCTCTCACCTGAGAAAGGAAAGGAATCATTATTGGCCTTTTGCTCATTTTTGCCCCTTTAGTTTATTTTTAAAGCTTCATATTCCGTGGCTCCAAATCTAGTGTCAAACCCAGGGCTCCAGCCTTGGGTGAGTCAGTGACTCGAACCTCCCTTTCCTTTTCTAGAAAATGGGCCAACAACTCCAATTTCAGCTCAGCCCATGGAGTTATTGTAAGATTCAGAATAATAATTGTGAAGCCGTCAAGTGTAAAGGTTATATAAAAATAAATCCTTAAGTCAGTTTTTGGTCCTTGCGAGATCCTTGTGAGGAAGGCAGGATAGGCAGGATAGGAATGATCATAATGAACACCAACAGTCTTTTATTTATAACCATCATCAGAGAATGGAAGGTTTTGATTTAAAATGAAAATAATGATTCAGATTTCTTCCTGCAGGGCTTAAAGAAAACATGTGTGACCATGGACCAGGAACGCCCACGCTCTGACCTCAGCATAAACAGCAGAAATGATCTCCGCAAGGTTTTGCATCTTGAATTTCTCTACAAGGAGAACAAGGTACGTGCTTTGAAGGTGTGGTGTAATGTTCTGGAACTGAGCTTGGCAATGTCAGAGCCCTTATGGGCCCTGCCGAGCTGTCGGAGATGGGTGACAGGAGGCTCGCTGTGCCTGCTGCCAGGGAGAAACAGACCCGGCCAAGTGCTGACAAATCCCAAGTGTGAGTTGGGCTTCCAGGCTCAGTCAGGCCCCAGGCCGCCCCCGTGGGCATATTGCGCATGTGTGGCTGTGAAGCTCACTTTGAACCTGGGCCCTTAATGGTTATTCCCTGTGCTCCCTCCTCCCCTAGGAGGCTGTTTTTAGTCAGACTGTACTTAAGAATATAGTATTCAGTTCTACTAAAACTTTCCATTCCCTGCCTGTGTAAGATTTTCCTTCTTCAATTCTGAGTAATAGCTTATTTTTAAGTCTACTGTGACATTTAATTTAGGCAGAAATGGGGCTTGGGTTCAGCTAACCCTGGGGCATTGGAGTTGAGATAGTAAATGGTTGGGGGGTGAGGGTGGGGCTTCCCTGATCCCTCCACCTCATCTACCCCCCACCACCTTGATTATAAGCCTCCATGGCACCCTGTAGTTTTCCTTTGTTGTGCTGCGCACACTTATGATAGAGTATGTGTGTGTGGTTGTTTAATTAGCATCCACCTCCCCACTACCTTGGATGCAGCAGGAGGCCAGAGACTGGCATCTCTTTGTTCACTGTTGTATCCTTATACTTAACATGTTGCCTGAGGACATAGTAAATAGTCTATATGTGTTTGTGGATTATATGATTGGCTGGCTGACTGACTGACTGAAGCTGCAATTCTGGCATCATTGTTTTTTCTGCTATGAAGACAGAATCTTCTAATTTGATTGAAGAATGGGCTCTCCAGCAGATGTTGCCTTGTGGTAGGCCATAGCGTCAGAGTTGGAAAGAACCTAATGATCATGTAGTTTAGCATTTATCATAATTTTTTAAAGAGGCAATAAAATGATATTTCCTGCAGAAGTCCAAATATGTAAAACAAAGAACGGAAGCCCCATAGTTGAATTGGGGATGAAGAAGACTTACCTTCTTGGTCTTTGGCGCAGCCCCTCAGGACTAGGCTAAGCAGCTTTTAAACTACCGATTGAATGGGGGCCCCCACCTGGGGGAGCTGTGAGCCAGAGAAAAGTGGTTTGTCAAGGTCTCGCAGAGAGTTACAGGATAGGGGCGAGGCTAGAACCAGATCTTCTGATTCCCAGTCCTACTGTAGTAATGGTGGTCAAGCCTCCTGTAATTGTAATCCTTTACTCAAACGAAATATTAGCAGATTGGGTTGGAATGGGGGGTGGCACCCCCACCCCAGCCCTCCAAGGCTGTTTCTGAGACACCTGGAGGAACCCCAGAACAGCTTGAAAACCACCCTCATGCACGTCATAGCCCAGTGGGGAGCTCAGGCTGAGTTCCCCTCAGTAAAGTGAAGGATGGCGTCAACCTACGGGAACATTCAGGTTGCCAGAAGTCCCTATGCCCCACTTTGATGAGAAAAGGGCAGTGGCAGCCAGGTGCAGTCCTGGCATCGCCTTAGTAAAGACATCAGATCGATGCCCTTCGTCCTTGGTCCCAGGGTGACACCAGGGCCCCCCTGCCTCCTCCACATGTCCAGCTGGAGTCCTGTCGACCCGGGCAGCAGCTTTCCAGCGCATCTCCTTTTACTGCATCGTTTGTAAGGCAGGACTGTGGACTGTACATTTTAGAAAGATTTTTTTCCATAGAAAGTGAGAATAGGTAACAAGAAAATCAATTAACCATGCTGGTATAGTGGGAATTTTATGTAAATGCAACTTTACTTAATATCCTGGAATCATCTTTGCCATTCAAGTGACTTTTACTTCTCCACTATAACATAGTCTCCCTAAGGTAATAATTATCTGAAGATACTTAAGATGTTTTCATTAGGTCTTGACAAGTACGCTGATTATTTGATTTATACAGTAGTTTTTAGTAGTTACTGTACAATGAATTGACCTTATATATTACAGAAAAATAGATTCATTAATCTATCTATTGCATAATGATTTTGACATTCGCACAAAGCTAGCCTGATTCTAGGAAAGCCCTGCAATTTAATGTTAATTCCAGTAACTTGTTTTTCCCTATTGAGGATACGATATATAAAAATGCCTATGAAAATTGAGGTTTTGAAAAATGGTGCCCAGATTCATATAAAGGCTGTGTCTATTCTGAGCAGAGTGTTATGAAAAGCCATAAAGTATAATTCAGGTTATCTAGGGCTATAAATCTCTTGTATTGAAAGAAAAAGCAAGAAGGTCCAAATAAATTGTGTAACGTCTCTCCCCTGATTCTTTTCCTTGTAAGTTTCATTTAGACTTAGACAAAATAGATTTTTTAGGTCCCATACTAAAAAAAGAAAGCTGTCTCCTGATTCTGACTGCCTGATAAATCTGTTGCTGTTGGTCAGAACCCATTTGGCTGTGGATGTTGGTGGTCGAGTTCTGCTGCACAGATCAGGGGGATAGGGAGGGGAAAGCCTGGATGTGCCTGAGGGTCCTTTCTGCGCCAGGTCCTTCGTCAGGCACTTTATTGCTCTGACTGTAGACTCACCAAATGCCCCATGTCTGACCACACTTCCCAGCAGCTTGGTGTCCCTGAACAAGTGGAGTGGGGATTGACATGGTTACATGGCCTAAGCTCAGCCTGTGGATTGCTGCTTGGATAGCTATGTTTGTCCAAATTACTTAGGGGACTTTTAAGAGAAATCAGCACTCCGATCTTTGCAATTCTGGCTTAATAAGACACAGTAGGGCCTGGGAATATATATTTTTAAAAACCTCCAAAGATGATATTTGGCATAGTCAGGGTTGGGAAATACTGATGTCATTTCTTTCTTTTCTTTCTCTTTCTTTCTTTCTTTCTTTCTTTCTTTCTTTCTTTCTTTCTTTCTTTCTTTCGAGAGAGAGAAAGAGAGCGAGAGTGCGCAAGTGCAAGCGGGGGCAGAGGGAGAAGGAGAGAGAGCATCCTAAGCAGGTTCCACACTCAGCATGGAGCCTGACTCAGGGCTTGATCTCGTGACCCTGAGATCATGACCTGAGCTGAAATCAAGAGTCGAACGCTTAACTGACTGAGCCACCCAGGCACCCCGATGTCATTCATTTCTAAAACCAACTACTAAAGAGTTTCAGTTTTTTTTAAGATTCGGGTGTAGATTGAGTCAGTCCTGATGGCCTCTCTGTGTTCTTTGCAATAACCTTTTGTGGCTCTGTCCCTGCAGGCCCCAGTGTCCAGTGGTAAATGCAGAGTACACAACCTAAGGGAATACTCAGGTCCCACATGTTTATTATCTTGTAGAGTTAAGGATCCCTAAAGATTTAATTTTTTTTTTAAATGAACAGGTATATACTTTCTAAAGTTATTCCTAGGAGAAAAACCAAGAGGAAATTTGCTTGGGTATTTTTCTGTTTTGTTACAGTTGCTCATTAAATCGCCTGACTCATGCATTGGATGTTCGTTCTTTTAGGGTAGAGGTTTTTGTCTTCATCTCTGTGTTATAACATAATGCCTTACATATGACAGGCTGTCACTGGACATTTGCTGAAAGAGTATATGAATGAATGAGAAGCTGATAAACAATGTCAAAGAATTGGAATAGCCATGTTTTCCACCCTTCCCCTGAAGCTGTCCATATGGTTAATGATTTTTGTTTTCTTCCAATGATAGGCAAAGGAAAATCCTCTAAAAACAAACCTTGAACTCATTACCAGATATTTTCTGGATCACTTTGGAAATACTACTAACAATTTCACTCAAGAAACACCAATCCCTGCACTCTCAATTCCAAAGAAAAATAACAAATTACCATCAAGATGCTCAGAGACCACGCTGGTAAATATATATGACCTTGCAGATGAAGATGCAGGATGGAGAACATCATTGTCTGAAACAAGCAAAGCCAGGTATCTCTTCTTATATTTACACTGTGGATTAGTTTCCTATCACTGCCGTGACCAATGGCTGTAAACTGAGGGGCTGTAATAGTCAGGGTTTTCCAGAAAAACAGAACCAATAGGATGTGTGTGTGTGTATGTGTGTGTGTGTGTGTGTGTGAATACGTGTAAATATATATGCAAATATTGTATGTATTCATACACATATATCTTATTGGTTTTATATTTCCTATATAAAGAGAATTATTAATTTTTTTTACTTCCTTTTTTTTTTTAAGTAGGCTCTATGCGCAGTGTGGAGCCCAACGTGGGGCTCGAGCTCACGACCCTGAGATTAAGACCTGAGCTGAAATCAAGAGTCGTTTGCTTAACTGATTAAGCCACCTAGGTGCCCCTATAAAGAGATTTATTTTAAGGACTTGGCTCACATGATTGTGGGAGCTGGCAAGTCTGAAATCTGTAGGGCAGACTGGCATGTTGGAAACTCAGGCAGTATTCTGTGTTATAGTCTTGAAGCAGAATTCTCTGGGAAACCTGTTTTTGCTCTTAGGGCCTTCTACTGATAGAATAGGACCACCCATATTATCTAGGGTAATCTTTTTTACTTCAAGTCAACTGATTGTAGATGTTAATCATATCTACAAACTATAGAAATGATCCCTGAAAGTATAGCCTTGATGTTAATCATATCTAAAGAATACCTTCAGGGAAGCATCTAGGCTAGTATTTGTCCAAACAACTAGGCAACATAGCCTAGCAAAGTTGACATATAAAATTTAACCATCACTGTGTCTTTTTTTTTTTGTACCTATTTTTTATTGTTATGTTAATCACCATACATTACATCATTAGTTTTTTTTTTTAAGATTTTTATTTATTTATTTGACAGAGAGAGACACAGCGAGAGAGGGAACACAAGCAGGGGGAGAGGGAGAGGGAGAAGCAG